CTAGCATGCAAAAAAAAGACAGAAGAACCGATATTCTCTGGAGCTGTTGCCTATGGAAACTGTTGAAGCTGAATGCTTCTATATTCCAACCTGGAAATAATAAATGTTTGAAAGCTCTCACAAGAAATTGCTATTAAAATATAATTCCCAGTTAGGGATATTCATCCTTTCTGTCCATTATCACCAATTTTTAGGTTGTCACCAGAACAGGAATATGTGGGAACACTTCTAATTGGTACGCTAGTTCAGGTGACCCTGGTGACAACCAGGGATTCCCTTGTTTTTTATTGATTTGCTCTCCCTTTTTGTTTTGGCCATGGGAGGAGGAAGTGAAGAGAAATCTCTCCAGTAGAACACAGATGGCAAAAAAAAACTGACAGGGTTTATAAGCATCCTTTATGCTAACAAACTTTTTTGCCTCTACTTTAAATTTCCTCTAGTTTTCTTAAATGCAGCCTATTGCATATTTGGATGGCATATACAAACTGAAGAGGGGTTAACAGACACAACACAAACATACTGTCCCCCTGTACACACTGCCAACCCCATAAATATTGCCCCCTCCCTGTACACAATGCTCCCTTTGCATACATGCTTTTTTACATATAGCCCTCTCTCCCCCCCATAAATATTGCCCCCTCCCTGTATACAATGCTCCCTTTGTATACATGCTTCTTTACATATAGCCCCCTCTCCCTGTACACAATGCCCCTCGTACATATTGCTCCCTTCCCTGTGCATGCTACCGCTCATACACATTGCCCACCTCCCTGTTCACACTGCTCCCCTGTACAAATTACCCCCCTCCCTATACGCATAACCCCCTTGTACATACTGCACCCCTTTGCATATTGGCCCCTGCCCTGTACCCACAAATCTGTCTTGTACAAATTGCCACAATCCCCACTGAGACACCTTGCAATGGCTAAGGCTGATACTGACTCATTCAGAGTGCCGCTTCAGCTCTGCAGTGCCATGGGGCTTCCTGAATTCTGAGGCTCATAGCCACATGCTCTCTGATCACTTTCCAGGGACTGAGCACTGGCTGGCCTGTCCAGAGGCAACTTCCCTGATAAAAGAGCCGGACTGCCAAAGGAGATGCAATGCTTGTCCCACCTGGCACATAGGGGCTACAAGACCTGATTGGCTGGGAAGTGGGAACTTACCAAAGACTAGTGCCAATCACCACTGATAGTTCCACAAATAGCTTGCACATTGCGGTTAATGCACATAGTTACGAAACAGAACCTGCATTGGACGCCCCTTTTCGTGGCTCTCTCATCCAGTTTGGAGCGACATCCTGATCCAGGGAGGGTCTGTGTTGTACCAAATACCTTCCACTTCACTTCACTGTGCTTCTAGGCATTGATAAAGCCATGGACATTTTTTTGATGCATCTCCTGACTTGTACATGTCCAAAATTTTCAATAGAAAATAGGGTTTTTTAATTCTCACGTATTGCAATACATGTTTAAGCTGGCTAACAGCGTCAAAGTAATCTATTGTTCTAGTGGTTTCACCCCTTTAGCACCTGATAGATAAATGCATGTACAAGCTATTGGGACTTGAGCACAGGTATATCTTGTTTGTAGCATTTTGGGTCAGTGGCCAGGCCTAAACCTAGTAGCTCTCCCCCACTTTGTGTCTGTTTGCATCATATTGGCATTGTGTCCACAATAGCATTTGTGTTGGCAGAGCAGAGTAGGACTGGCCAAAAGGAAGTACTTTGGCGCAGTTGGCCAGCTTAAACATGTACTGCAATATGTGTGAACTAAAAATCCATATTTTCTATTGCAAAGTTTGCTGGAAAGGGTATATAGCAGTGTGCAGAGGGTTCCTTTAGAATTTCTACTGTTAATATGTTGATACACCCTTTTAGCACCTGATAGATAAATGCATGTACAAGTTATTGGGATTTTAGCACAGATATCTTATTTCTCCTCAACTTTTATCTTGGACAACTTTTGACAGTACCTTGCCACTCATAGTTGTTTGCTTCAGACCAAAATGTTCCAGGAAAGCTCTTTTCATGCTGAACTAATCAACATGACAACAGCTGATCACAGGTGAAAGTCACTTGGCTTTGTGTGCCACTGAGAAAGTGATTAGCTACACCTGATTTTCCAACTCAATGATTCTGTTTTTGAATTTTAAACATTTTTTTAAGACATGTTGGTGTTATATCTTTCACTTGGATGTTATAAGTTGCACAGAGTAAATGCAGCTAGATAAAACAAAAACTGTCTGCATTTCAGGCTGCAAAGCAAAAAAATTTGATTATTTTAAAGAAGGGTGATTCCTTTCTCTACTGACTGCATATACATACACACACATTCTAGGCCTAATTTGAAAATGAAGCAATTAAAGCAATATGCAAGCCAAAAGCAAACATTTACTGTTACTGCTGCGTTGTGCGTTTTGCAGAAATGCACTACAGTCCATTTACAATGATTTCCTATGGGACAGGTTCACATCTCCGCATTTTCACCTGGTGCGTTTTTTTGGAAAGAGTCAGAGACTTTTTTTTAAATGCAAAATGTTGCGTTTTTGGTTCTATAGACTTCAGTGATGCATTTTGATCTGCCTAGCAAAAAAAAAAAAAAAATTTACTCTAGTGAAGAGGCCTATAAGATTCTGAGCATGTCAGATGAGAGTAAAGGGGAACACTCACTGACACAATCAACCTCAGAATGGAAACCTGTAGACAGCAGCGGCACCCTGACAGTTTGCTCAGACGATGTAGAAGAGGTCCCTGCTAAGATCAGGCGTACCTGACCCCATTTCCAGGTTGCTGAGATGTTACAAACGCATGATGACTCTCATATGTAGCATATGAGTGCCAGTACTAGTGCCGCTCTACCTTTTGGTGAACTGGCGAGCACCAGAGGACTAGTACATCCTGGTCTTTCACATACCAGCACTGCAGTATCACTTGGTGACATGGCGAGTCCCATAAGTGCAGTACAAGCTGGTGCAGTGGCGAGCACAAGTAGTGTCTTGCAGCTACCAAGAATTCTCACACAGGCTTGTAAAGCCCACAGTATCCTTCTGGATATGCTTGCAAATCCAGATTGTCAGCCCACAATTTCTGCAGCACCTGTACTTCCCCTATTTACTGCCCAACCTGGAATCCAGGTGGAAACAGCACATTGAAATACTCCCTGTCACGGATGCAAGATCGCCGCCACCAATAAGCGACGATCCCACGATCGTGACGTCCAATATGTGACGAACGCGGCATCAGACCCCAGCCCTTCTCACCAAATTTGTGACTGAAGGACTAGCCAATCTAAAACCGCAATCTCACATGCGTAACAATGCCACACCCAGCTGCACTCTGCACAATGATTTCCCAGCTAATTGGACCACAATATATGTACCAGCAGCCTGAGCAATTGTTACTGGGTCAGGTTAATTACGCAATTAACCCTTCACACTGCCACCACCTCCTTTTTATACAGAGAAAGAGGAAACTCGGCAATATCAGCTATACACCATAATGATTGAAATAATCGTCTGCATAACACGGTAACCGTAGGCCGATTATACAGAGGATTAAACAAACACGGTAGTGCCCTTTTAGAAGCAGGAATTCGTAAATTGCAATAGAGAGCTGTAGAAACAGTTCAACACTTTCAGAAGGAAAGATTTATTACTAAAAGGTCAAACGGGTGCAATACAAATATTTACAGAAAAAATGTAACTAATATATATATAGATATACAGAAAACAGCACAGCACAGCAAAGAGATAACAGGGAGAGGTTAAAGGGTTAAGGTACTGCCATTGTCAGGAATGGACTGGCCAGCAATGGTGGGACTCACCTGCCTTATGAGCTGCAGTACCAGGGCTGGCCAGCGGGTGCTCCCAGCAATCAGAGACTCAACCTTGCAGCCAGTCAAACACCTGGAACTGATTATACTGGTGTATTTAAGGGATGGCCAGACCTGCAGACTCTGCCTTGGTGTGTGTTTCTCCTGGGCCCTGTATCCTGTTCCTGCTCCCTGTTCCTGTCTGATTCGTTGCTGACCCTGCTCTGATCCCTGGCTTTGTCTGACCATTCTCCTGCTCCTGATCCCTGGCTTGTCTGACCATTCTCCTCTGCCTGACCCTCTGTACCACGCTGCTGCCCGCTACCTGCTGAACCTGGCTTGTGACCCCGACCATTCTCCGCTTGCTCCCCCTGTACCTACCTGTCCGAGTGATATTGACCCGGCCTGCCTGACGACGCTTGCATTATATGTACTGTCATCTGTGGGTGGTTGGTTTGGTTTGTTTGCACTGTGTTATGTTTTAGTATTGCACTGCGTTTATGTTTGTATTGTTAGTGTTAATAAATTATATTGTTTATAACATATCTGAAGTCTGCGTTTCCCTGCGTCAGTCACACACCTCTGGTCATACCCGGGAGCCCTGACATTACACCAAGGCCAATCCTGACCAGAAGTGGCTGCACAGGGAAGCCATCTTGGTTTGTTGATGGGAAGGATGGATCTGGATGAGGTTGCGTATTTATATCTGCTAGTGTTTGATGACAGAGAGTATGCTTATCAAGCGCTGAAGGAGTATACCCGGGATGAACTGCTAGAATGTATACGGCTCGCTCATGTTCTAGTAGATCAGGGCACAGAATTCTCTGAGGTGCAGCCATTGATTCAGATTTGTGCGGAGTTGGTTTCATCTGGTACCCCCGAATGCAGGGATGAATTTTTGCCGCCATTTAGTGCCGACCAGGTAGAGTCCCTGGTATGGTTATTAGAGGATGATGTGGATTGCTTCTTGGAGCATTATGCTGCATGTTCACCACAGATACTAAGAGATTGTATAAACGCAGTGCAGTCATTGACCAGACAGGTCTTGTGTAAGCTCAGCTTTGTTCAACCCATACTGCAGACATGGACAGATTTGTTGCACCCAGCCTCAGTCAGCCTACAAAAACCCAGTCCTGCTTCTAATCTATTTCCTCAAAGCTCTATTCCTGCATTCCCAACAGCTCCTCCTGCCCTGCTATCTACCGCATGTCAGTACCCTGTTCCCACTCGCTGCACCTATCCTGCCTTTAACCCTGTAAAAAAGCCCTCTGTAGCAACTGTTCCCTCCCCTGTTCCATCCTCCAGCTCTTCTCTGTCTCCAGCTGCTCCATTCGTTTGCAGACCTGCGTTTACTTGCAGTGCTCCAGTAGTTAAAACCAGAAAAAAGCGAAAATTCTTTCCAACCAATACCATCCTGCCAGTATCCAAACCGGTGAGCCTGCCGTCTGAGAACCTGCCTTCCGTGGTTCAGCCTGGTGCCTCGGCACCCGCACTTCAGCCTGAGGTCTGTACCCAGCCTGATGCCTGTACCCGGCCTGATGCCTGTACCCGGCCTGATGCCTGTACTCAGCCTGATGCCTGTACTCAGCCTGATGCCTCTCGTCAGCCTGATGCCTCTACTCAGCATGATGAACTGATCCAGCCTGATGATCCTATTAGGCCAGTTGACTCGATGCCCGCTGTTGATCCAGATGATCCGGTACCTGATCCGGTGCCCGCTGTCGTGCCAATTGACTCAGAGCCCGCTGTCGTACCTGGTGACTTGGTGCCCACTGTCTTGCCAGATGACGCGGTGCCCGCTGTTGAGCCAAATGACCTGATCCCTGGTGACCCGATGCCCGCTGTCCAGCCAGACGATCCAATGTCTGACCCAGTGCCCGCGGTCATACCAGTTGACTCGGAGCCCACTGTCTTGCCAGATGACGCGGTGCCCGCTGTCGAGCCAAATGACCTGATGCCTGGTGACCCGATGCCCGCTGTCCAGCCAGATGATCCAATGTCTGACCCAGTGCCAGCGGTCATGCCAGTTGACTCGGAGCCCACTGTCGTGCCTGGTGACTCGGTGCCCGCCGCTCCGCCTAGGGGCCCGAGACCTGTCGCTCCGACTGGGGGTCCGGCGCCCGCCGCTCCGCCTGGGGGCCCGAGACCTGTCGCTCCGCCTGGGGGTCCGGCGCCCGCCGCTCCACCTGGGGGGCAGAGACCTGTCGCTCCGCCTGGGGGCCTGAGGCCTGTCGCTCCGCCTGGGGGCCCGATGCCTGTCGCCCCTCCTGGGGGCCCGGCGCCCGCCGCTCCGCCTGGGGGCCCGATGCCTGTCGCCCCGCCTGGGGGCTCGATGCCTGTCGCCCCGCCTGGGGGCCCGGTGCCTGTTGCCCTGCCCGGGGGCCCGGTGCCTGCTGCTCCGCCCGGTGGCCCGGTGCCTGCTGCTCCGCCCGGTGGCCCGCTGCCTGCTGCTCCGCCTGGTGGCCCGCTGCCTGCTGCTTCGCCTGGTAATCCGATGTGCCTCTGCCCGGAGTCCAGCCCGATGTGCCTCTGCCCGGAGTCCAGCCCGATGTGCCTCTGCCCGGAGTCCAGCCCGATGTGCCTCTGCCCGGACTCCAGCCCGATGTGCCTCTGCCCGGAGTCCAGCCCGATGTGCCTCTGCCCGATGTGCCCCTGCCCGGTGTGCCCCTGCCCGGTGTGCCGCTGCCCGGAGTCCTGCCCGGTGTGCCGCTGCCCGGAGTGCCAGTCTTTGATATCCCGCCAGTTACCAGACCCGGGCGGTGGAACATTTTGCCCAGCTAGGACTGTTTGGAGCGTCCTGAGGCCGCTCCTTGAGGGGGGGGTACTGTCAGGAATGGACTGGCCAGCAATGGTGGGACTCACCTGCCTTATGAGCTGCAGTACCAGGGCTGGCCAGCGGGTGCTCCCAGCAATCAGAGACTCAACCTTGCAGCCAGTCAAACACCTGGAACTGATTATACTGGTGTATTTAAGGGATGGCCAGACCTGCAGACTCTGCCTTGGTGTGTGTTTCTCCTGGGCCCTGTATCCTGTTCCTGCTCCCTGTTCCTGTCTGATTCGTTGCTGACCCTGCTCTGATCCCTGGCTTTGTCTGACCATTCTCCTGCTCCTGATCCCTGGCTTGTCTGACCATTCTCCTCTGCCTGACCCTCTGTACCACGCTGCCCGCTACCTGCTGAACCTGGCTTGTGACCCCGATCATTCTCCGCTTGCTCCCCCTGTACCTACCTGCCCGATTGATATTGACCCGGCCTGCCTGACGACGCTTGCATTATATGTACTGTCATCTGTGGGTGGTTGGTTTGGTTTGTTTGCACTGTGTTATGTTTTAGTATTGCACTGCGTTTATGTTTGTATTGTTAGTGTTAATAAATTATATTGTTTATAACATATCTGAAGTCTGCGTTTCCCTGCGTCAGTCACACACCTCTGGTCATACCCAGGAGCCCTGACAGCCATTAAGCCTTGGATTTAAGCAGATCAAGTTTCCGAGCAGAAGGGCACAGGTCTCCCCAGGTGGTATTGATGTTAAAAATGGGAGAATTCTTCAACTTCTTTCTCTTAGGCCTGACAGCCCAATTTGTAGTTCCCCAGCAGGGGGTGTCTCTGACGTCAAGTAAGTTTCTCATATTCCAAGATATAAGATATAGGGGAAAAATGGATTTTGAAAAGTGTTTATCTGATTCTGTCACCTACGCCGAGTTAGGTTTATTAGGTTGGAATCTCTTTCAACTCCTGGGAAAGCTTGCCTTATCTCTTACGAGGTGTTACAATTTGCAGGTTCTTTGGACAGGGAGGCCTCGGCTCCCTTGGGGGGCTTTATAGCTCCTATGACCCTCCTGTGACATTCCTAACTCACACACATACTGGCCAAATGTCGCTGTGCCTCTCAGAGAAGGAGGGGGGAAGAATGAGGGGAGAAAATGGAGATTCTTAAAATGGAGGCTGCGTCAGTCTCTGGGTATACGCTTGTTACACTCCCCTTGATTTTTTGGAGCTATTTTTCACAGAAGATCTGTATGCATTGATTTTGGTTAAAAGCAATTTATATGCACACCAGTTTATCGCCGCCAACCCAAATTCAAACCTTTGCAGACCACTCGCATGGAAACCCATTACGATTTCCGAATTTAAAGTTTTTTTGGGCCTAACCCACAACATGGACATTACTAAAACAAATGAATTGCGGTTGTATTGGTCCACAGACCCGATTCATCATATGCCATGTTCTCTGCTGCCATGGCCAGGCATAGAAATGAGATTATAATGCGTTTTTATGCATTTCAATGACAACACACTCTGGTGTCCTCTGGGTGACCCTGAATTTGACCAGCTCCACAAAATTCGGCCCCAAGTAAATCACCTTAACCAAAAATTTGCAGATGTCTATACTCCCCACCAAAACATCTGCGTTGATGAGTCCCTCATTCATTTTTATGGCCACCTTGCATTCAAACAATTTCTCCCCAGCAAGCGTGCCAGATATGAGGTCAAGATGTATAAGACCTGTAAGAGGGCAACAGGCTATACATATAAGTTTTTGGATTTATGAGGGGAAAGATAGTCACGTGGAGCCCCCCGGATGCCCAGACTACATGGGGAGCAGTGGCAAGATAGTTTGGGACTTGGTGTCATCCTTTTTCCATATGGGGTACCACTTATAAGTGGACAACTTTTATTCAAGCGTGCCACTATTTAGACATTTGTACAATCTTGGAATTGTCTCATGTGGCACCGTGAGACCTAATCGCCAGGGCTTCCTCCAACGGCTTGTAAATACCCATCTTAGGGGGAAAAAGCCTGCTTGAGAAATGAGGAATTACTTGCAGTGAGGTGGAAGGACAAATGGGATTTTTTCATCTTGTCTTCCATTCACGCAGACACAACCATCCAAATTGCCACGGCAGCTGGTGTTGTTGAGAAGCCCCTCTGTGTCCATGACTATAACCTTAACATGGGAGGGGTGGACTTAAGCAACCAGATGATGAAGCCATACTTAATTTCCCAAAAAGCCAGACGCTGGTCTCAAAAGATGTTAGGTAGTCAGGAAACTGGCTATCGCATTTGGAGAGACCCTACAGTCTGTTTTAAAAAGTTAAAGTTTCAAAAGTAAAAAAAAAAAACCCATAAAAAATAAAAAGTACAATTCCCCCAAAAATGAAAAATTTTAAAAAACAAAAATAGTTATAGTTTTTTTTGTTGTTGTTGTTACTGTTCTACTGTTACAATTTTACTGTTTTATTGTTAACCATTGCTGTTTTCTTTGCAGGAATGCCATTCAGCTGCAGCACCAACCTGTTTATTCTGACAGCAACAGGAACCTGCTCTCAGAATATACATAAGTCAGTGTAGGCAGCGCTCTTGGATGCGATTTTTCATCAGCAGTTAAAAAAAAGAGCATATATGCTGAAGCATGGGGGCCTGGGGTGGTCAGTGAATGGATGGCTCCTATGCTTCGGCATATATATTTTATAATATTTTTTGGCACATTTCATGTGTGCCCACCATTAGAAGTCGGTGGATGCAGGGCGGTATATTCTAATGGTGGGCATACCACACGCTTTTTCTGGCAGAGATTTCTTCTCTTTTCATTCAGCCCACAGGCTGTATAAAAAAAAAAAAAAAAAAGAACATAGCATATACACCCAACAAGGACCAGCAACGTACTGGTACATCACTGGACTTTGAATGTATCCGGAGTATGGGGATACCACATGTGAGATACTTTCTGGCAGTCTAGCCTAATACAGGACCCCAAAATCCAATCAGCATCTTCAAGCTTTTAAAGGGCCTTACTTCCTCATTACACTTCCCGATTACCTATCACAGTTTCGAACGCCCTGAAATACCAGGATAGCACCAACACACCCCCCCCCCCCCCCCAATGACCCCTTTTTGGAAAGTAGACACCCCAAGGAATTTGATAAGAAGCATGGTGAGTATTTTGCAGATCTTGTTTGTTGCACAAGTTTTTGGAAAATGAAGAAGGAAAACAAAAACATATTTTTTCTTTTATTTTATATTTCAAAACATTGTGAGAAAAAATGAGATCTGAAAAATACTCACCATGCCTCTTTTTAAATTCATTGAGGTGTCTACTTTCCAAAAAGGGGTCATTTGGGGGGGTTTGGTGCTATCCTGGCATTTCAGGGCCTCCGAAACTGTGATAGGTAGTGAGGAAGTGAAATGAGGAAGTTACTTTCAAAGTGGTCATTGGATTTCAGGCTCCTGTATGTGGCTAAGCTCCCAAAAGGTCTCACACATGTGGTATCCCCATACTCGGCAGAAGTAGCAGAATGTATTTTGGGGTGTAATTCCACATATACCAATGGCTTGTGTGAGCAATATATCATTTAAGTGACAACTTTGTGTAAAAAAAAAAAAAAAGGTTTTTCCAAAAACTTGTGGAAGAAAAAAAAAAATCTTCCATGGGCTCCACATGCCTCTCAGCAGATAGCTTATGGTGTCCACTTTCCGAAAAGGGGTCACTTGGGGGTGTTTGTATTGTCCTGGTAATTTTAGCACCTCAAGAAATATGATAGGCAGTCAGAAAGTAAAAGCCGTGTAAATTCCATTATCTATACCACCGTTTCTCAACCAGGGTTCCTCCAGAGGTTGCCAGGGGTTCCTTGAGCAATGAGTAATTTTTGCCTCTCAGGTAAGTTCCCACTGACACCATTGATCTTTTTAGCAACCTGTAAGGGGGGAATTCTTCCCAATGACCACAAGGAAGAACTCGCAGGAAACTTAGGGGACTTTTCACCCAATCATCGGACATGCTTCGTCTGCATCATGAGACTTATAAATGTTACTGTTATTTCCTCAATGAAATAGAAATTAGGAAGTTGGCAAACTGCATTCTGTGTCAGTGTCTTACTTCCACGTGCACGTATTCTCACATTAATTAGGCTCACTGGTAGATCACAACAGCTGTGGTCGGTTAAGTGATCACATCCAAAACATAAGGAGCATTCATACCTCTGACTATCACACTAATGTATCATGAATTTTAGTAAAGTCATTTTTAGCAGGGGTTCCCTGAGACTGTAAAGTTATGTCAAGGGTTCCTCTGTGTTGAAAAGGTTGAGAAAGGCTGATCTATACCATAATTTGTAGATGCTATAACTTTCACACAAAGCAATCAATATACACTTATTGGGATTTTTTTTTTATCAAAAACATGTAGCAGAATACATTTTGGCCTAAATTTATGATGAAATTTTAGTTTTTTGGATATTTTTATGACAGAAAGCTTTATTTGTGTGAAAAACGGACAAATTTCATTTA